TCCTTGGCATTTTTGGGTTTATCACCAAGACAACTTCTCCATTTATTTCCTTTTCCTGCTACTTTTTCCTCACACTTATACTTGTTAGATATTCCTTCATCCAGTGATTCCAAACATGACAAACTAATTCCTGGATTTTTCTCCATTATGTATGTGTATTGTTGTGTCTACATCCAGTTCTCCACCCAGGTGTCTTATGAGAAAATGATTAGGGGTCATTGCAGGTTAGTCATTGGGATCACTGTTTAATGGTGTTGGTGGTCTGGAATTCATCAACCTCTCCATGCCAGTAAAGATCATCTGTAACTCTTTGTTGTTTACATCTGCATTTCCTAGGATTGCGTTTACAGCCCCTTTCACTGATCTGATCATTTGTTCAAACACTCCTCCAAAATGTGGAGCTTCCATCCAGTGCCAGTCAATGCCTTTGTTAGATGTCATCCTTTCTGAGTTTTTCTTGGTCAAGTTGCTCCACTTGCTGATTGATTTCATTGCATCCACTATTGGAGTTGGTGCCATTGTCACTCAGCATATTTTGAGGCCAACCTTGTCTTGTTAACGTTTGAGTTAAGGCATTATGGAAGCCATCTGTATCCAACAAGTATACCATCTTTGTGGAGGCACAGTGGCCTTATGGTTAGTGCGCTTCACCCTGGATCAGGTGGTCTGGGTTCAAGCCCCGGCCAGGGTCATTGTGTTGTGTTCTTAGGCAGGACACTTTACTCTCACAGTGCTCTCTTCACCCAGGTGTACAAATGGGTACCAGCAAATGTGCTGGGGGTAACCCTGCAATGGACTAGCATCACATCCAGGGGGGAGTGGCAATACTCCTAGCCACTTCATGCTAAGAAAAGTGGAGTTAAGCACTGGCCCATATAAAGACTTTACTTTTACTTATACCATCTCTACATAGCAACAAGGTGTTTGGAGGCACAGAAACAAACACGGGCATCGTTTACCTCGAACCTTGGCATGGCCTTGTACTGTTAAATATGGTCCAGAGAAATTGACTGCACCGTGGTTAAATGGCTTGATTGTAGTTTCTAATCATATTGAGGCTGTGGGAGCCATTTACTCAAGAACAGTGTGATTGTGTGTTGGTTGTATACATAAATTACCACACACAAAGATGGAAAAAAGTGTTATGCAATTTCTACCTCCAAAAGGGAATTCATGCTAATTTCATTGTTTGCATACCAGCAAATGACAAGGAAGCACCTGAAATTGCTAATATAATGCAGAGGGAGCACAATAGGAGTCAGTAATTGTAATAGATAATTACTGTGGCAGTCAGCATTATGAGATATATTGCAGCCAGCTGAGGATGTAGCCTGAAGCTGGCTGCAATATATCTCATAACGGTGGCTGCCTTAGTAATTATCTATTAGATAACCATTACTGTAAATGCGAGAATAAAATTCTTCTTTGGAAGCTTTTTGCCACTGGCTAATGCCTTGGTTTTTTCAGGAATTTGTCATGTGCTTCATTGATGATCTGACTTTCTGTTCTCTTCAATCCGTTACTTGTTAGCTCTCAAATAGCATGCTATTCAATGAGTTTCCATTAAGTGCCTCTGAATCGGTGAACCCAACTTTGTACTCATGCCATGGAAATTCCAAATTTGAGCTTGTTTGCTAGCTTTGTTCTTTACCATTTGGAAACACTCGTGGGGTCTGGCCTGCTCTGATTTTCTTCTTGATTGCTGGTCATGAAACTGTTTAGCATGTCTTGTTAGGAGCAATTTGTTTGTTCATGGACTTCAGCTTTTAGCACCTCGAGGGTCTATACAGATCCTGTTAACCTCAACTCTGGCCAGTTGTCAATTTCTTGATTAAGGAAGGCTGGCACTTACACCCAATGTGCATTATCAATTAACTCCTCAACTGTCAGTCCTTGTGTACCATAGTCAGCTTAATTTAACTTTCCAGGAACATAACCCCATTGATTGAGGTTGGAGTCTTTGTGTATCTCTCCTACTTGATGTTCAATGAGAAGGCTTAAAGTTTAGACCTTGATTATGAATCCAAGAACAGATGTTACAGCTTGCAACTTAGTCAGTTGCCTTGTTTTGTTAAACTCCACGAGCCTTGCACACTAGTTTGGGTAACTGCTTCCATAATTTTTAAGTGGAAATACTTGGTGCCTTAAGTGGAGCCAATCTTGTTTTTGCTGAGATCAAACATCTACTGATCGATCTGTCCTCAAATTTGTATAGGGCGTAAACATACAAACATTTGAATGAACATTTGAACTGTCATATCTTTCTCATTGCTGTAGGAATCCTCTTGTTCTGGAATATCTTGGATCACTGTAGGTTGATGTGAAATCCACTCTCCAACATTTGATCTGGCTAGGTCCTCAAGCTCAGTAATTTTCTCCCATATTGCCTTAGCTTCTTCTATACTCTTAATGGACAGCATCAGATTCTCTCTATAACACTTATTTTGCACTGCTTCCACTGCCAAAGGAAACTGCTCTCTGTGGTAGTGTGTGTTGCTGCCAAACATTCTGAACACAAAACGGACAGCAGCATCCACCAAATACAAATCCCTGAGACTCGTGTATCTGGCTGTGTACTTGGATCAAGATCCCACCGTAGGAATCCATGGTAAGGCCGATCCGCAGGCCGCAGAACTGACTGGTGGTAGTGTGTCAAAGATGTAACTTGGAACCTGGGAATGTCTCTGTGTTAATACTTTTTCCTTGGTACATTACTGAGGCATCAAACATGATCCTGACCTTTGTAGTAGTCGCGTCAGGTTGAATCACTGGAAATGGAGTTATAGCCCATCAGATTTCCCCTTTCCTTCAGTGGGCATAATGTGTTGAATCTAGTTTTTCTGTACATACTTGTTAATAACTTGTTGGTAAGCAGCTGCTATCTTTTTACTTTGACTTTTCTGTAGTCGTCGATCAGCCAGGGGTCTATTGCTGACTAGAAGCGGTCTTTCTTCTTTCCAAGGAACTGCTTCTTGGTACCATTTCATGTCAAAGATTCTTGATTCGCTGATCTTTTCCCATGCTATTTGCTTATCTGGAGTGAGCTGCTGCTTAGTAGATACAATTCCAATGTGCTCTAGCTGCCAGTACTTTTTCAGTGTGACAATTAAGTCAACCTCCTGTAAGGTGGAAGTTTTTTCAGACTGCTTTGTTTGGAAGGCTCTGATAAATCTGGTGTAATTGTTCTCTCTCATGTCCTACCAATCTGTTCAATTGCTGTCCATCCCAGTGGGCCAAGCCTTGCACTCAGCCTTACCTGGAACTTCTTTTGTTGTGGTGATGAATTTGTGATTGTCCGCTGCAAGAAGGACATCAATCATTCCTCTTTTTGCTAGCAGTGGGAAAGGTTTATCTCTCAGATGGAACCATTTTTGTTTTGTTTCCAGATAAGCAATGATGTTATCCTGACCTCATCCTCCATTTTCTTGAATGGCTGTAATAGTTTTGTGGTCAACACTTGGGTTAAAGGACTTGTTCCTTTTGAACTTCTGTTTCCTCTTGGTGGTAACAGTCTGCATTAAGTAAACAGTGATGAGTATTGATGCATCTGTCAATTTTGCATTCTTGGTAATTTGAACATGAGTTTCAAAGATGATCATTACCTAGACATCTATTACAAAGACCCAGGCGCTGGGGTCTACCTGCTTGCTAACTTCTTCTATTTCCTTGTTTTTCTTCTTTTTATTCTCCTAGTCTTGTAACTTAGAACAAACAATCTCTTATACTTTCAAAAATCCTCATTACTTCATCTCTCAACCTCTCCTAGCATCCTATTTACCTCCACTATGTTGCATCTATCATACTTCTCATCTAATACCAATACAGCTAACTGGTTAAGCATCTGAGTTAAATAATTTAAATTATTGAACTTGACATTTTTTTTCTCTCCTTTCAACACTCCAAGAACTGTATGTAATTTACTGTCTTGATTGCCTTTGTTTTCCATTGTGTCTATATTCTACCCAGAAAAACTGAATTCTGACATGTTTCTACTCCTAGTGTCAGTGACTGATGTGTCTCTTCAAACCCAAAATCTTGCAAAACTGACCTGAAATAACCCCTACAATCCAGCTGAAAAGACCAAAATTTTCTGATGGCTTTCCTGACAGTCCTCAAAATCTGGAAAAACTGATCAGAAAACCTCTTCAATTGCAGAAGGAACAATACAGGTCCAGTTAAACTTCAATTCTCAAATCCACTTTTTTGTACGTGCAACTGAACCTATTATGTCATTAAAATTTAAACCAATTGAATCAACCAATGAGTGCACGTCTGAAATCAAACAATAAAGATGAAATAAAGTCTGTTATTGTGCGGCTCACAAAGTAAATGCCAACTGAGTTTTTTGAAAACTTTTATCAATTCCATAAATACAGAAAAGGTTGCAACAAATATCATACAGCTTATTTAAGTTGCATTAAAGGGATAAGTGAAGGGTCAACAGCCTCTTTGTAAGCCATCTTTTGCTGCTGATGTAGCATGGAAGAAAATCTGGTTTACATGATGGGTTGAGGTGAACATTGGAAGTTTGTCATTTCCATAGTTGGATGTGAGCTTTTGCATACTGAGTATGCTCAGAGACCTGATGATTTTGTGAGAGGAGATTAGTCTATATGTGTATACAAGTGATGTATTTAGCCATTGACTGGTAATCATTCAAAATTTATTAGAAATGGAATTTATTTGAGTATGTGCCACACCTGAGTGTTAGGGGCTCTTTGAGATCCACTCAAACCAGTATGTTCATGTAAATAGGATTCATGCCTCCCTAACTATGTAATTTATTAGCTTGTTGTATGGAACTTTTCATTTCATTAGACTAAAAGGTTACAGCAAACTAAGAACATAGCGGTGACAGATATAAAAATAGATATGGTGATCCTTTAACAGAGGATCCTATGTCACCCTTACCAAGATGGAGGATCCTAGAACAAACTTAGATGTTAAATATGTTAGGCTTATAATTATATTGATATATTTTATGCAATTTTGTTTTTTAGAATATTAAGGCAGAAAAACCAGATCTAAGGAGTAAAGACCTAAATCTTGAAATTGTAGATACTTCAGACTGTATGACATGCTTTGTTCTCTTCCACAAGTTCACAAAAGAGGTATGTTATATGTACATAGAAGAGTTTTGATATTAGGCATGTTGTGGTTGGTTGATACTGGGTAAGTTAGTGTTATCAACTGAGCTGATGATGTAAATTAGCCATTGTAGAGAGTCGAAAGGCTGATATTTTGAGCATTAGCCCTTTGCCAGAGTGATTGGAGGAATTGTGGGTTGTGTGTGGGGTTATATGCAGAAAATAGAGCTATGTTATTGGTGGGAATATGGTGACAGGAAAACAAGAATAAATTAGTTGAGTGAAATGCACTTGATGATATCATGGGGATGAAGGGTGCCAATTTGGAAGATAAATTTTTGTTCCAGAGTCAAGCAGCTTTCTGACACCTATTTTTATGCAAAAGTTGACAAAGATCTCACTTTAATCGACCAAAACATTATTTCCAACTTCTACAGACAAACGAATGGCATAGCCATCAGTACTAAAATGGGACCAAGCTATGCCAATATTTTTGTAGGTTTCATCAAATATCTTTTTCAGTCAATACCACGACCCCAAACCTGAACTTTATGGCTGCTACATTGACAACTGCATTGGTGCTACCTCCTCTACTAGAGGGGAGCTCACTCAATGTAAAACCGCTGTCAATTCCTTTCACCTGGCTCTTAAGTATACATGAGAAATTTTAAGGTAACATATTCAAGCTAGTTATCTGATAAATAAGACTGTCTGGGACCCGAAATTGTTCAAATTCTGAGGAATTAGCTTCACTCATGCCAAATAATTGCCTCAACATTCTCTCCATACACTTCAGTGGGTTCCATAATCAATATTGAGTAGAAAACTTCAACAACACACTTGTTAATATGTATCATAGTGATTGTGTCTTCTTTTTCTAAGCTTGAGCGAGCAAATGATAGGAATGAGTCAAATCATGGTCCAGTTACTAGTATCTGTTGTTTCATGAATTGTACCATTTGAGGATGTTGCTCTCCAACTCTTTAGGCAGCGTTGTGAATGCACCATTTGTGAGAACGTGTGTTTTTCTAGCCACACTTTTCATTATAAATACCAAAAATACTAATATTTTGGTTCTTTTGACAATCATGTGATAGCTCTTAGCAGTAAAGCAGAAACGAGGTAAAGTATTCCAACACAACTTGTACCAATTTTTAGATTTCTTTTAAAAATATAAAAAAATCGAAACATTATTCAGTGACACCAAACAGCTTCTACTGAAGTTGCGCATGCTTCATTGGAAGATATCATTTCGGATTATAAAATTCCTGGTCGAAATGGGTACTGCAAATGCATACTTAGAGGATACAAAAACAAAGTGCAGAAACTAGCTCAATGGTAAAACTGGTCAAAATGGTCAAACAAGCTGAACTGGTTCAATGGCTTACAATGATCAAACTAGTTGAAATGGCTCAAACTGACAAAATGCCTAAACTAGCTAATTGGTCAAACAAACTGAAATGGTTCGTGTCTAAAAATTAAGGTCATACTACCTGAAATAAATGAAACCAACAAAACCAAAAAACTAGCTGAATTGGCTCAAGTGGTTAAAATACTGTGAAATTCGGAAAATAAGCCCTGGGGCTTATATTTTTCAAAGGACCTTTTGAGGGGCTTATTTTTTTAAGGGGCTTATATTCGGAGGGGCTTATTATAGGAGGGAAATCTGCATTTCAAAATTGGTTGGGCTCATAATTGGAGGGAAATTTGTGTCAAAATTTTTGAATGTGCAACTGGTAATACTAGGGTTTTGGCTAGAAATTTGTAACAATTTAATCACACTGAAAATGCCAAGTTCAAACACAACAGCAATAAACTAGACTAGAATGGAAATACAGTAAAAACAGTAATGCAGTTCAGGCTGGACAAACCAACAAAATGCAGAAACAAGCGAAATTTGTTGAACTGTATAAAATGGTCAAACACTACTGATTTTTCCGTGTGTTTGTTTGGAACATATTTATTCGTAAACTTTTCACATTTAACCATTTCCAATTTATTCGGGCTCATTCAAGTCCTTTCATTCTAGTAAATCAAAAAAATATATAAAAACCACAGTAGCTTTTGGAATAGATTTGCTTGTTACTTGCTTTCACTATGCACCTGCATGTCAGTACTTTTTTTGTTCATTACTAGTGAAATTTTAGGAAAATATAAGTGTTAATAATGGTCTTTCTGGAAAAAATTGGTTCTCACGGTAGTTGGCAGCTCAGTATATAGTCATGATTTCAATTTCTTTTCATACAATAGTTTCCCACACCAACCTTGCATAGATAAGCAGAAATTTTTAATTACTTCTCCACTTTTATTTCCTAAGCTGCTCCACTGTAATTAAGGTAGATATATTTTCTATACCAGAGCTGTGAATTCTCACCTAAGTTTCCTTCAGTGAAACATTGTTTCTAATCATGAAAGAGGGGGTCCAAACTCTTCAATTTTGAGATTGCCACATTGATCTGCTCTTGGATGCGCTTTTTTCGTGATTGTATCTGGCTGAAAGCACTCAGCCAGACACCGCTTCTTCATGATGCTCCTGAAAGAAATTGATGAAGTGAATGTAATAGAATCTAACTTCAGTCAACTATGTATGCAGTTTTTTAAACAAAACTTTGATGGTGACAAAAATAATTCAAAGATAGCCGGCACGGTAGTGAACACTTTCTTGAACTCTGGAGTATTTTGCCATTCAAAACGACATATACCAGTAGGATAAAAAGAATCAGAAATATTAATTTTTTTGCAGAAATTGTCATTAGTAATTTATAAGCGCAATTGCGCGTCGTTTTCTTTAGAAAAAAAAAGTTGGTACATGGGATATTTACCACCCCAAAATGGGAATGAGAAGGCTTTGGATTAGAAGAGTATTTTTATAATTGGCAACAAGTAAAAAGGATTATTATCAGAGGGGGACATGGGGGGTTCTGAATACGGCAACATCGCAAACAAAATGGAACTAACACCGCATCGCCCAAAAATATTATCAAAGCACCGACATCGCAACATAGTCTAAGTATCAGCATTTAAATGTTTTGGTTTCACTCATCCTTACCACCATGGGTCAAGTAAAATATTACTGAATTCGGTCAGGGGTCAGTCAGCTAATGCTTATTTAAGATAAACTTGGATTTATTGCTTATTTTGTTGGACAATTTCCATGACTGCAACTCAGAAATGTTTTATTTCACCGAAAACAGTTGGTTTGGGCAACACCGCAATGCGAGTTGTTCTTCACCACAATACCACATGAAAAAAAAAAAAAAGGTCAACTTAGTACCTTAATTATTACACCATGCACCACTTATTTGCTACCAAACTGCCTTACGCGAGTCTGCTAGGTTCCAGTCCTTTAATAGAATGCTAGTACATTAGTATGCAAGTCATTCGTGATAATTCAAGAGGTGATGTTAGTATGCTAGTATGTTGGTACACAAGAGACATGCAGTCCTTTAATCGAACCCTAGTACATTGGTAAGCAAGTCATTCGTGCTTGTTTGAGAAGTGTAGTTAGTAGACTAGTATGTTGGTACGCTAGTGACCTGCAATCCTCTGATCAAATGCTTCTACATAAGAACACAGGTCATTCATGGTTGTCGAAGAAGTGGAGTTAGTACACTAGTACATTGGTACACAAGAGACATGCAGTCCTTTTATCGAACCCTAGCACGTTGGTACGCAAGTCATTCATGCTTGTTAGCTAGTATGCTAGTGACATGCAATCCTCTGATCGAATGCTTGTACATAAGAATGCAGATCATTAAAGGTTATCAGAGAAGTGGAGTTAGTATGCTAATATGTTGGTACACAAGAGACATGCAGTCCTTTAATCATACTGGTGAACAGTGTTAGTACTGTAGTACTAATGAATAAGCAAAAAACTAAAAGAGATCTTTCCTAAAATGGGCAGCATATGCGCATCCAAACCAGTCATTAGACACTTTCATCTCCCTAATCATTCTAAGAAGCATATGGCAGTTTGTGGCCTTTCCCTACATCTAGGCAGTTCAGAAAGCCACAAAACTCTAGAACAAAAATTTATCTTCCATATCAGCACTCTTAATTCCCAAGGTATCAACAAGTGGTTTTCATTCAACTAATTTATTCTTTTTTTGTCGCGGTATTCCCACTAATACCCTAGCTCCATTTTCTGCTTATAATCCCACACACAACCCACAATTCCTCCAATCACTCTGACGAAGAGCTAACACTTGAAACGTCAGCCTTTAAACTCTTTATGGTGGCCAATTTATGTTATCAACTCAACAGATAACACCAAGTTACCCTGTTATACCCTTCCACTGATGCAGCACCACAGTTTCTTTAGAAACTTACCCCCTTTATTTGTTGGTTGATACAGTTTGCTCCATTAAAGTCAAGATGTATGGTAAGCTCTAGTGAGCTGTATTTATTTTTTCTGCCTGGTCTGACCCAAACATATGTAAACAACACTTGCGTAGTCAAATTTGCTGTAGATAGCTGTAGTGAGTAGACCACAATTTTTTTGGATGATTAGAAGTACAAACTGATCCTCACAGGCAAACTGTGATAAAAGGAATTGCAGAAAAAGGAGTCAGGAAAAAAAATCCAGCTATGACAAGGTTCAAACCTGTGCCTCCCAGATACTAGTTGGGCACTACTACCAATGGAGCAATAAAGCCACAAAGTGGAGTAAAGAGGAACTTTAGTGGGTTCTTTTTTCCTTTGAGAGGGATACCATCATGATTAAACAAGTAATTCAAGTAAATCAGTCGGTGTAAACTCTCATATAAGTTGTTGAGAGTTTAGCTCTCAGAATATCAAGCATTTCAAAGTCCTTAAACATGTCAGAGCAGGGAAAGTTCCATCCAATTGATGCTTTTCCATTTTCTCTCAACTGAGATAGTTTTGGTTTTTCTACTGTTATATTTTGATAGCCTGTTTTATTCCTTGAGAAGTTTCATGAAATTTATGATCTTAATTCACATATCTCATAAGGGTGATATTCATTTAAATACACAGTGTTGTTTGCTTGATTGCAGGTTCTTGTAAGAATGCAGCAGTATAAGGATGATCTGCTGGTTTCGTGTTTAAGGCTTGTTCTCTCACTCCCTTTGGAATTAGTCAGACTTGATGTTGTCTCCTCGGTGGCAGCATTAAAGGTAAGAAACTTCATTGCTGTAAAACTACAGGGTATGAAGTGAGGTCTTAATGGTCTTAATGGTTCACAGGTTACTGAATTTGCGGTATTTATTCGCGTACTTGAATACTTCCTTAATCTCAGTCACTTCACATGCAGCATCTACTGTAGTTATTTGGTTATAAGGCGCACTCGGCTATAAGACGCACCCCCAATTCGGCAACTTCATTATTGCATGTTTTCAAACTGAGAAAATCGCTAAAATACTTGGTTATAAGGCGCACTGTTGTTTGGGGAGTAAAGATCGGTCAAGTTTATTGTAAATTCTTTCATAAACTTACAAAAAAGCGAAAAAGTCGCGTATTGATTTTAGTTTACCGTTAATCAACAAAAGCAGAATTGTCGCACACGCGACCACGCACACAAACAAAAACCTTGATTAAACAAGATGTACCGCCGAGAATGCAGGTCTCAGTGCACTAAAAAGGCTGAAAGGATGAAGAAGGTATTTACCTCTTCGCTTGTTTATTTTCGTTTCGTTTGGTGACGTATCAAATTACTAAGCACGTGCTCTCGAGCACGTATCACATCTATGCAAATTTGACTTCGCTTGTCTTTTCAGAACCACTATATTCATAAAAGTCAATGTGTGTGTGTCATTTTATTTGCTTGAAATCGTACCAGTAACTGTGATAAAAAAAAATTGTTTTGGGAAAATATTCGCCTATAGGACGCACCCAAACTTTGGCGGTAATTTTTAGTAGAAATTAGGAATTTCTTGAAAAAAACGGTGCGCCTTATAACCGAATAACTACGGTAAATGCCAAGATATGCATATCCTGTTTACACAAGGGTCCTTGACAAAAAACAGAAAGTTCAAAGTAGCTACTTTGGATTAACTGAAATAGTAATAATGGTAATTATTGAAAATATCAGGGTTACCAGTTTAGCCATTGAACTTTTGTCAATGTTGGCCCTCTTTAAACAATTTTTGAAGTATTAGATACATATTGATACCAAAAAAATTAAAAGCATTGAGAAATCAGTCACAAATATGATCATAAAAATGAAAGTCTGAAATATAGGAATTAACAACCACTGCACCTAAATGGTAAAGTTTGTTGGCCATGAATTTCACAGCACCTGACTTTAAAATAGCTCTCAGAAACATCTGATCTGAAGACATTTACTAACTGCATCTGTGTGGTTGGTCCTCTCCTCTCTCAGTGAGCAGCTTCCATCCCAAAAGTTCAAGAAGTCAATGCTTGAGAGTTTTTTTCTGACAAACTTTTTATCCATATATATATATTACTAGTTAGTTCTCTTTGCTACAGCCATGCCTAGGAAGCATAGATTAATATGGAATATAAATCACACTTGTAGGTAAAGTACACCTTGAGTTTGGCAACTTGAAATTTGGAAAAAAAGTTCTCACACATAAGCTGCACCCCTGATTTGTAATGAAAATGTTGATCACAAAGGTGTGGCTCACCTCTATTAAGCAGTCACCCTTATGAAGTGGTTGTGGTCACCCTTCACTGTGTTCCAATGGCCTGTTTTCATTGTCCTCAATGTGTATGAACAGGAATATAAATCAGAATAACATCCTTGTAGCTAGTATTTGTGCATCAAGTGGTCAATTATGGCTAAGTATGGGTTTTTATGAATAGTTTTTCAGAATACCCCTATTCTGTAGAACCTGCATTAAGCACTCATCCTGTATTAAGCAGACACCATGCCGTTCCCCATGAGTGATTGCCCAATACAGGTTCAACTGGAAGTGAGATACCAGTAGTTATCAAGTACAACAAGCAGATTCATGAACATTTCTATGGAAGATTTAATGGGGGTCCAATCAAAAGCCTATTCAGAATATTTTTTAGCTCCACTTTCATGAGATTCAGCTGATGAGAAGCAAGGTCCAGGAACAATTTTGTTTTTGGTTCATTTTCAGAGATAGAATTAGACAAGAAATAGATAACAACATCCTATCCATCTTAATTTGTGAAACTTGAGAGCCGGTGAGAAAGTCATCGATGTACATTTTGTTAATAAAATTATTCTACTCAGGCTTGTCGAATACTTTGTTTCTGCCTGCATGGCTCTGATCTCAGGGGCCCTCTTTGCCTTTAACTGTTTTCAACTTTTTTTGGCCTCAAAAATTACCTCTTCCCATATTTTCTCAGCTTACCTTTAAGCTTGGTTTGAGCTACACCCCCTTGGCTCAAGCTGGTCTGAATGCCTTAGAGAACTGGACTATGGCCCTTCCTGCCGATGAACTGAAGCCGTATCTTGGTGAAATCTTGCAGTGTTTGGATAGCTACCTCAAGACATCAGGTAATTAAAGTAAATCCTTTTAAGAAAATGATAATCCTTGATTTTATGACATTGTAGTGAGGCCCTGAGTCTTTTTGGGACTATTTCTTCAATGAATAGCTTTTGTGATTCATAACTCCATGGGCAGCTGGAGAAATGAGGCACTTTTACTTGGTCTTTCAGCATCCTTTAAATGGGCTCCCTTCTTATCAATTTTCAGGTGACATCCAGTTACATGATGACCGCAACACAATTGTACTCACTACATCATCCAACCGTAATTCACGAGGCAGGAAACTTCCACTCAAACTTTTAAAAATGAAACCACAATCACAGCATCACGTGAGTTTTTTAAGTTCAATAATCCACTTTATAGAGAAAAGTGTATTTCAACCTCATTGCTTGCTTTCAATAAGAATGAATGCTAAAAGATTTTATTTTTGACATGATTTCTCAGATGACATCGACTCCTGTGGCAAAGGTTCGTCACAGGATTCTGAGGATGTTTGGTGGCTTAGGAGGTGAAACAAACATTTTGCTCCTTGACGACATGGAAAGAAATCCTTCCAATGCAGTGGTTTGGGACACTGAAAACCATCTAACATTTGCTGTTCCTTTTCAAGACATGAAGCCCAGTATTTATTTAGGTAAACTTTCAATGCCCTTTACAATTGTGTTAGCTTGACCACAATATGTGTATTGTTGACACAAGACTCTTGCCTTCCATCCTTGGAAAGCAGGGAGATGTGTTTTATCATGTCAAGGCAAGATAATTCTGATATGCATGTGCAGGTCCTCAGCCATCTACTTACTTTTGGATTAATGATACACCCTTGAAGATTCAGACCCAAAATGGCTTGGTTATTGGGATGTATGAAGATGAAGAATGGAAAGCGCTCCTTAGGCATGAAATAAGAGCTCATGCACATACAGTCCTTGGAATGTCTTTTTCTAAATATTATCTTATTGCCCACAGAAATATTTCAAAGCGCTATCTTGGTCACTTGGAGTTAATGACAATTATTGCATGCACTGAACATCTTTACACCTATGTTACTCTACCTGTGAAGTCTCTTAAAGCAATACTATAGACATTATTGGAGTATTGAAATTGGAAGGAGCACTTTCAATTTGAAGTGTTTATGCTATTTAGCCTGTATCCTAAAATAGGTTGTGATTAGTCATTGTCGTAAATAACACTTTCAAAAGAGAGATGCAATTGTTTGTCTCATGATGTGGATTGCTACATATGTGCAGTATGCAGTCTTGAAAATATGTAGCTACCACAAAATTTGTTAGAATTTGTGATAAAAAGAAGTTTTGTTGGTGAATTATGTCATTCAAAGTCCACTGCTATTCAGTTCACCCATTTGAAAGTAACACTTTATCAAAATAAGAGTATAATTTAATCCCTCATTTCCTTCAAGTCACCTCTGTGTTTAAATTTTCCAAAAGTATTTCTTCTTTTTCTTGGAAGAAAAGAAGTACTGTTACAACAACCTAAATGGAGTGAAGAGCTGTTGTCAGTTGAGAGTTATAAGTCCAGTTTGAGTAACTGCTTGTTAAATTTTGCTGTGATATTTCTGGCTGTATGACTCAAGTAGCCAATGCCAGTTGTGATTGGTCAGTTTTCATGCATGGGTAATGTTGGGTAAATCATTCAATTTGGCAGTTTTTGGAGTAAGTGCCATAAGTAAGTAATTTTCTGTTGTGATAGCAAGTTAGACAAATACCTTTCAAGAGCCTTTGGTTGAATGTAGTCAGTGCTGTGTAGTATAGATTAAGTACAAACCAGACCACTGACTGGGACTATGTGCTTTACTGAACTTGGACACTTTGTTCTATAACCTTCACTTTCTCTTGTTGTCAGATTTTTGATGTTGTACGATCTTGTATTTTTGATCTTGTATGATCTTGTATTTTTGATCTTGTAAGCTATCTTGCCTGTCAGAGCAAATAACTGGCTGGTTAACCAAGGAAGATTAGTGGCTCAAACTCTCCCCATAAGCTTTAGCACATGTTTACAATGTATGTGACCTTCTTTTGAAGTTGTTGTTGAAAGTAAACCACAAATTTTGGTTGCTACACTATATGTAGATCTTTGAATATCAATTGCGTCTTGACTAGCCAGTGCCAAATCATACCTTAACTTACAATTCATTGGGTGTTAGAAACATTCAAGGCAATAAATCTCCAGGCAATGATGTGTTGACTGCTAAGTTCTTCAAAGATGTCTTTGATCTTGTTGGAACTGATCAGATAAATAGTTTAAATCAAGCTATTGAAGATGTAAATTACCTTTAAATACTTATAACCTTTAATAATTTCTAATTTAATTGAGAATTCATTGCTGCAATGACTATAAATTTGGTCCCTGAATTCAGCAAAATCTCAATATTGTTTTAAGTTAGGAGCCTTGCATATTATGACATGTATTGTAGGAAAAAGGAAAAAAGATTTCTGAAGTCAGTAAAATCAAAGTATGTCACCTTCAAGTGTTGAACCACTGAACTTCAGTAATCAAACTTTTAGCACTCTGTCATGTGAACTTTATGGTGCCACTGCTCAGTCAATATGCTAACATATAAGAGAGTGACAGGTTAGCATACTGAATAAAACTTCTACACTATGAGTGCCAAACAAGGGAAGGGATGAGAGATGTTGCATTGCTTGGATCCTTTTGACAAAATCTTGGTTGTTTCACAGATCCTTTCTTACCAAGGGTGGTAGAGCTTGCGACAAAATCAAGTGATAGGCAAACAAAGGTAATGCTGTGTACTTCTTGTTGCTTATTGTGCTGTGTTGTGATGTATATTTTGAGCAGGTTCGACACTCGTTTTAATGAAAGCACTGTACATTCTGAATAAATGTTATTCAATGAGGAGTTAACCAAAGGAGATAACATACACTTCTCTTGGATATAGGTACGGATATAGGTACCCAAGGAAAAGTTTTAATTTGGTGTCCTTTCTCTTTATGTTAAGGAATAATTATTCATCATTTAATTTGTTGGTGGTAACGGTTGTGGAATAAATTCAACAGGTTGCAGCGTGCGAATGTCTTCACTCTCTTGTGCTCTACATGCTTGGTAGAAGTGTGACTCAGCCCCAAGGGTTCAAGAAAGTAAGAACATGTATGATTGTTACCTTTCTTGTTGTTGTAGATTTGATTGAGTTCATGCCCTTTCATGGTGATGGTCCTTAACCCTAGAGAGGGCCATACCTTTTCTGATATTGGAATTGTAAAGGAACTACTTGTTTGATTTAACAGTACTGCGCAAAAGTTATGCCTTTTTTTTTTGTTCTTGATGTACTCATCACTTAACCATTAGGTGCTGTTATCAATGCTGCGATAAACTCATTAAGTTACAGCCTATCATTGTTTATCGAAATATTTAATCTACATATTTCCCATGTTGCCTGCCTTGTTTCCTTATGTTGTAACAAACTTCAACTCATTATGCTTCTGCACAAGTTGCTGTCATCTAATGCTACTTTTGCTGAGACAGTGAAGCCCCTTAGGCACATTGTTTATAATACATTAAACAAACTGGGGAGGCAATTGTGCTTGAACAAGATAAAGGAATATGTTTGTCCCTAAACAAAAACTCGCTCAGGTGATATATCCTTTTAGCAATGAATGTATCCCTGGCTCTGCCATAAATTGCTGGAGCAGTAAATCAGTGATTATGTACTGCATGCTCTATCATATATTGCCAGAACAGTATATTCCTGGAACGATTTATCATTGAGGCAAGATATTGCAGAAAGCTTGGATGCCTTGTCAATATATTGTTCTGAGGTGTTGATAAAATGCACAATATATTGGAAGAAAAAAGCACAATATTGGATCATAATCCTTTGAATTACTTTTGCACAATACTGTATCAATTGATTTTTAAAATGAGCACTAACTTTTTTTTTATAGAGTCCTATGGAAAAGTTGTGGAAGCATGTGTTTCCTACACTACTGCAGCTGGCATGTGATGTAGAACAGGTGCATTAAATGTGCTTCTATTCTGGAAAAAAAATTGTTTAGCTTTTTTTTGAGCTGGACTTTTTCTGTTATAACTTCATGGTAAATGGAAACAAATTAAGTTCTCTAGTAAGACATCACATAAGGGAGTTTACTCTTAGATTCCCAGGGGTACTTATTGTATTTTTTCTTTCCTTGACTTACTTGGTAAATGGAAACAAGGTCTCTGGTTAGAAAAGAGCTAAAGGGCTAAAACCTTTTCCAACAAACCTTTAACAACATTTGTTAAAAATTTGACTTGAGTACTTGACCTGAAAGGCTCTAGTCAGTGTTCTGCATACCAACCATATGGGATGTGCGAGCTGGATAAAGGTATTTTACATTGGATGAAATGTGTAGCCATAGGGAAGGTTTACAGGTTTTGAATTGAGGATGAATTAATTGCCCACCAGAATAGCCAGAAGGATTAAATCATTAATCTTCCTAATGCATTGGTTTAATGAATTGAAGAAATAGCATAGCTAATACCTGTGGGAATGAAGTGTTTTCTTTTATTTAGTCAGAGTGATAATTTAATGTTAAGGGTTTGCTTTTGTTTATGTTAGGTGTCAGAGCAGCTTTTCAAGCCATTAGTTTTCCAGCTGATACACTGGTTTACCAACAACAGAAAATATGAGAGTCCTGAGACAATGGCTCTGTTAGATGCAATGCTGGTATGTTAGCAAACTATTCCATGTGAATTTATTTGAATTTGCTGCATTCTAAAGTTTATTAGTAAATATGTGGTTTGCTGGAATGGAGTGATCACTTTTCAGTTAACAAGTAAAATCCTTGTTAATTCTGAATCATTTGCAAACAGATTGCACTCTTGTGATTTACTCACCAAATCGTTCAGAACAAAGAATGTCAAAAGCCTACCAAGATATCAAACCTGCCATTCAAGCATCAACCCTTGTTGGGTTGGTACCCCCTCCTTATGAAATTTTGGAAACCCAGCTAGTCTAAGTACAATGCCTTTCTTTGCTTTTTAAGTAGTTGCCTTGTGCTTGTTTTTTTATTTATTATTTATTCTGGAAGAACCCACTAAAAATTTGTCTTGCCACCAATATGTGGTGCATTTGGTTGTAGCACCCTAGCTAATACATGTATCTGGGAGAAACAGAACCCTGTCAGCTAGAGCCTCATATTACCTACTTTGTTTTCTGCAAATTCAACAATTGTTGTTTACTTCTGACTCTTTTTACTTTTGAGGTTGACATGTGCATGTTTATTTTGATTGACTGAATTTAAGCAGCTTCAGATTTTTATGTTGTGGGTTTTTGCATTATTTGAAGACAAATATGAAAAGGGTATTTATAGTCCTAAGCAAGGGAAGTGTTGAGTTCTGGAAACAATTTCTTATATTGTGTTTTTAAATTTTGATTAATTTTAATTTGACAGGATGGCGTAGTTCATCATGTGGATGCTTCCCTGCGTGACTTCAGTGCACAGTGTATAAGGGAATTCCTGCAGTGGTCCATTAAGCAGACAAGTGGAAAGGTAAATAATTTTCTATATTTCTCACTTTGCAAAGAAGAGTGTGAGTTTGGCAAAAGTGCAAATTTTTGGGCCTTTCAGTGAAAACTGATAAATTTTAAGTAACTAGGAAATTATATACAACCAATTTCAGACTGAATATATCAAACTAAATGCTTTTAAATGTAGCCACAAGGTTGCAGCTTTGAATTTACAAGCTTGACTTTTCTCTGGACATGGCTCATTGGACTTGGAAAATATTAGTTCAGGTGATGAAAGGCAGCTGGAACAAACATACTTTCAAAAAATTAAATATTCAAGAATTTCTGGTCTTCTAAGGCATTGGACAGGAGTATCAAAATGTTGGGTCTATGAATTGTAACTTTTCATTTACATTCATTTAATCTTTAAACCAGAGTAGCATCAAACCATGTCTGATATGTATGTATATTGTGCAAAGGTGTCATACAAATTTTGGAAATTTTGACACCAGTTATTGTATTTTTCCCTTGTCCCCATGAATTATTCTGTCAACACCTTTTCCTGGAAAGAAAAGGTACGTATATTTTAGAGATATTTTCAAATTGCGACAGTTTTGAAAACAGTGTATATGTATTGTTTTTTTTCCTTATGTTGGTTAGCAATCAGAGAAAAGTCCAATTAATATCAAGTCATTGTTAAAGCGCCTCTACAGTCTTGCTCTCCATCCTAGTGCATCAAAGAGACTTGGTGCAGCCTTGACATTTAATAATATCTACACAGTTTTTAGGTAAGTCTACATAATTGTTTGTTTTCATAATATTTTTTTTTGAGATCTGATGTGAAACACAAGATAAAGGAACAGTGGCTGATTTATTTAATTCAGTTATCTTATGTCAACATTACAAGCTATGTCTGTCACTAAAATATTTTTTACACTTCTACTGGTGAGAATAAACATGTAAATTTCAAAATTGGTCAAATTGACTGCTACATATCTTTAATAAAAGAAAGAAAACCTGCAGTCACAATTAATTTATTCTGAGGTATATCATTTTGAGGCAGTAATCTTAGGTTTGTTATCAATTGCAAGTCAGAGAAAGCTATGTGAGCAAAGATTGTTGCAATCCAATGCAAACACAAGAAATTTAAGGGTGAAATTTGAGGCTATACTGCATGCTAATGAGGTGTCAAAATGCTTGGACCCCCATATAGGCTGCATCCCAAACTTTTTATCCATCTTTCCGATAAAAAATGTGGCCTATCCATCGGTAAATTGGTAAGCTGTATGAAGAAACATTTAGTATAATAAGATAATATGCAGAATGTCCTCAGGTTTCAAATCAGTGGTCATCTGATTGAGAAAGATGTGTTTTTCCTTGTTCCAAATTAGATTGAGAAGTGAAGCAATAAAGTAATGAAATCTAAATATTGCACTTGAGCTCTGGAATGTCATGCTTTTTTTTCTGAAAAATCTGATCCTTTCATTTTTAAGCATGGAAAAGCCTTTTTGGTCCTAAACTACTATCATAAACCTTTGGCTATGATGGGCTAATAAACAGCAAAAATACTACTTTATAAAATGTATTGCTGGTCAGACCTTGTCTGCATGGTAAAGTTAACAATAAACTCTCCCTCTTATCACCAAAAGTTATAAGACATCCAGGAAAGGAGAAATACTCAGCAATTTGGATATTTCTACTCAACCTACATAAAATCTTAAAAGAGGGAAAAACATGCAAACATAATAGTGACTTTTTGACTGTGCAAATTAGAAGTGCTAATGACTAGCTGTTGGAGCAAACATAGGAGTTTGGAAATTATGATTCTAGGAATACCTAACTTAAAAAGCTATGCTAAGCTTGTCACCTTCGTGGCCATAATAAAAACATAAGTGTTATGGCCTCATTTACTGGTATTGGGTTTTGTCAAAATTGAGACAAACATCCAGATTTTTGAGTAGAGATTCAAGATCTAAAAAAAATAGGAAAGGATCCATGCTGGAGAAAAAAAAGCAGGAGAAGGCGAACTGTGAATTTGATGTGTTCAAAGCAGCTAGCAGTTATGGTAGTTCAGTTTCTATTTTTATCATTAAAGTTAAGTAAATAAAAATACTGAATCATGAGAAAAACATTTGCTAATCATGCAGGGAAGAGTCTTCATTGGTGGACATTTTTGCTCTGGAAATGCTTGTAAATTACTTGGAATGTTTGTGTCTGTCACACAGTGATGAACAGGCTAAAGGTAAACTATTGGGTGTCTTTAATGTCTTGGTTTTACTATTTCAGGTGTTAAAATAGGTCAGATATTGTAAGAAAAAGTATGAGTGGTTTATCTACAAAACTATTTTAAATTATTCCTATAACATGTATTTTGAAGAGCAATCTTGGTGTTTTTAATGAGAAGTGACGTTTTTCTGATTCAAATAAAAGCTATAACTGACATTTAAGCTTGATCAGACATGAGAGAATTGTCTTGTCTGAAGGTACTCGTGTTACAAATTGTCCTAGTGTCGAAAGTGATCATGTTGAAAATCAACAATTGACAACTAAGGTTCCTTCAAGGCAAAGGGTTACTGATAAATGAAGATCATCTTGAGGAAGAAAGAGTTACTTGACAATAAAGAACTCTTGACAACAAAGACATATGTAAGAAAAAAATTACAAAAAAAAAAAAAAATTATAGTTAGATTGACTTCTGTACCACCTTGTGTTGTGAAATAAGTTTGGGTGACAAACTGGATCCAGACTGCTTTATAATTTTTTAAACAATCATTTACCCTATTCACACCAGCAAAACTTGTTTTGTTAAACTGGTTTTTACTGGACGAAAATCTTAAACATAGAACTGAAAAACTTAATTTTCCATAGGATTCAAGTACTTGCTAACTTGCATTTCCAATGTGCTAAATTTAAATAAAAAAATTATAGGGTTAAGTAGTTTCTATGAATAAAAAAAATGAAAGTGTTTAACAAAACAACCTCAAAATATGTTTAAGCTTTGGTGTGAATGGGGTAATAGACAAGGTATGCTTATGTTACTTTTTTCCCCTTAATCATAAACATTCTGTCATGTAACCCTGGATTAGTAAGTTTCATGACACAAATGTACCCACCCTATGTAAAGTCAATTTAAAATTGCAATTGGGAGTTGAGAAATGAAGTAGCAACACTTCAGAAGGAGAAATACAGTTCACCACTAACTACCTGCAGGGATGTTACTTTCCAAAAAATGAACTACAGTTCAGATTGTTTGAGACATATTTCTTGAGTGGATCTTCATTTTTGTGTAGGTCTTCATTTTTGAGAATGGTTTTGAGTTTGTTGCTTCTTTGATAGATTTTCATTTTAGGAACTCCACCTTCAATACTGTTTGTTATAGTTGTGCAAAAAAAGGGCACTGCCATATTGTTGGTAATGGTAAGAAAAGTTATGAAACCATCAGGGAGAATGGGTTTCCTATTAGTTATTGTCTATCAATCATTTTTTCTTGAATTAACAGGGGGAGAAAGATTATTTGTTATTAATTTTTTGGTTTAATGTCAATCTTAGATAATGTTGTTGTATGCAGGCACCCAGGAACAGTGTGTTCAAGTAATCGTACACCTTGAAAGGATAATTCACTTCAGAGCACATTTGCTAATCAAGGAAAACCATCGCAGAAGAATTCCCAAGTATGGTATTAAACCTTCATCTAACTCATTTTCTATTTCTTTTGATAACTTTGTTGTTGTATTCTTTAACTAACATTTTAATGGCAAAGATTAAGGAGAAAAACTAGTTAAAAATTTTCCTTGATATGTGGATGTTATTTGCTACTGGATTAGAATAATTCAGCTATCTGAAAAATCTACATCCTTGCAAGATATTTTACAGTATACTAGTACAGCAGTCCTTGTCAATTTACTTCTTTCTAATCATTTTGGTTTAATGTTAATCCTGTTCCACTTTTGTTTTGGATATTCCATCATTCATTATTGATAATTTATGTAAATGAGCCTTTAAATTGAAGTGCTGGCTACTCTCAGTGCCGGTAATTGTGAAGAAGAGCTCCCCAAAAAACCTGTCGGCCGACTGTCGGCCGACAGTTGACTGACAGTCGGCCAACAGTCTACCGACAGGTTAAGAAAAAAAAAAGTTGGTAGAATGTAAAGAAACGTTTCTTCCAAAATCTTACCGATCGACGGCAAAGTTGGTAGTATGTAAAGAAACGTTTCTTCCAAAATGTTGTCAGATGCGTATAGGATATATCACTTGCGTAATTTACAACACACCAGACAATCTAAGAATCGCATGGGAAGATAATTTAATCGAAAGCTCGGCCAAAAACTCTGAAAACCATAAGCTACGTATCAATACAAACACTTTCGTTCAAATCGCCCAACAATGCAACGCGGCCTCTTATGGTATGTTAAGTATGTATGTATGTATGTATTTGTTGCTAGCATCGTAATCTATCTTGCAGGTTTGGGATGAATTGCTATTTCCAATTTCAAGTTTAATAAATGATACAACTGTGAATCTTTTTACTCGTTATGTTAAGTAATAAAATAATTGTCAACGTTTGTGTTAACGTTTCACGGACAAGCTACCGACAAGCTACCGACAGGTTACCGACACATTACCAACAGTCGGCCGACTGTCGGCCGACAGGTAGCCTATATTTCAGGCAAAACCTGTCGGCCGTCTGTCGGCCGACAGGTTTTTTGGGGAGCTCTTCTTCACAATTACCCTCAGTGCCTAACACCAATTTTCTTCCTCCCCTTTTCTCAAGTGATCAAGAGATTAAGTTTCATGTATTCTTTTGATTTAAAAGGGGATTTGGATCTCAAAGTTCCATAACATTAATTCATATGATTCCCTGGCTAGTCAAGCAATGTGGAAGACCAAGTTCAGAGAGCCGACATCAATGTATGAGACTTATTTGCAAGTTAGCACCACTCTTGCCAGGTATTGTCCTAATTGCAGTGAATAATTTATATTATAGGGGGGGAAGAACTTAACAAGGAATTGAAGTGTACTTTGATCCCTCAGCTTTAATTCTCTTCTGAAACACAACAATAATTTCAAGAACACAACAATCTTTTGAAAAGGAAGAAATGTGGGTTGTGTGTGTGTGTTTATGTGCAGAAAATGGAGCTATGCTTTTGGTGGCAATATGATGATGAGAAAACAGGTATAAATTAGTTTAATGAAAAGTGCTCATTGATACTGTGGGGATTAAGAGTGCTGATTTGGGAGATAAATTTTCCTTCAGGAGAGGCTGCAAACTGTCACTTAATGCTTAGAATGGTTGGGGAGATTAAAGTGTCGAGCAACTGGTTTGGATGCATCCTTGTCATTTCTTTTTATGTGACAGAGGTCTTCTTGAAATTGGTGAGCTAGTCGTCCTCCTGTTTCTGCACCGATGTATAACTTTTTGCAATAAGTGTAAGTTATACAGTAGATGACATTGGCGGAGGTGCACAGTAAGAGATCAGTGATCTTAATGGATCTCTTGAGTCCTGACATTTTCTCTGTGATGTGAATGAAGGGACAAGTTTTGTGTCATGAGTGCATTTAAAAGTTCCAGGCTGGTCATTGGTTTGAAACAAACTTCTTATCAAAAAGTTGCCAATGTTTTTGTTGCACTTGAATGAAATTAGTGAAGGTTGCTAAAAGATAGTACCAGTCTCTGAATCATTTCTAAGTAATTTCAAGTTTTAAGAATAATAGATTTAACTGTGTGGTTGTGAGGGTGAAATGTGAAAGTGAATGGAATGCAATCAGTATTTTCTTTCTGAGCCATTTGTTGTGTCAATTGTCAATCAATTTGTTGGTTACAGTGGTGGTCTGCTTGAATGGCAGACATAGGATAATTATGTTCATTGAAAAACTGGCACATTGCCTCTGATTTTTAGAAAAATCAGAGTTGTCACTACATAAACAACAAAGTCTGAGAAACTGAAAAAGGTGTGGAATTCTTGACTTGTGATGGATGTGAAGATGAATACAATGAGTAACTATGTGAATCTGTAGGTTTGTAATAAACACTAGTGCATAGATGATTGCCTTTAATTGAAATTTTAATGTCTAGAATAGCCAAAGAAGTGTCAGAAATTTCCCAGGTATATTTAAGAGCCGTATAAAAGGAATTGATGGCAGGTATAAATTGAGTGAGCTCCTCTCTGGTAGAGGAGGTAGTGCTGATCCATTCGTCAATGTAGGGACCATAGAGTTCAGGTTTGGAGCTGTTGTATTGTCTTAAGAATTGGTGTTCAATAAAGCCTATGAAGAGATTGGCGCAGCAGAGTCCCATTTTGGTACCCATGGCTATGCCACTAGTCTGTTTGTAGTAGTTGCCACCCGATGAAAAGCAATTGAGTGTTAGTACTAGTTCAGCTAGATGAAGTAGTGTTTCAGAGCTAAGGTCCTTGGCAGTGCATTAATTAAAAAACATGTTGGAGAGCCAGGAGACCTTAGTCACTGGGAATGATGGTATTAAGAGAGGTAACGTTCATTATTGGGATACCTGTGGAAGCCCAGTCATAAAACACCTTTGTTTTTTTTTTGTCTTTTTTTTTTTCCTCTGCCACAAAATGGAAAAATTGCACAATAGTACCCAGTGGTCATTGGGCAACTAACTGTGATCCAATGAAGGTGAATGTGTTCACATGCTGATCATGAGTGTTATCTTGATGATGACTGACATTGTCATGCACAGACAGGGCTGGGTTACATGATGAACCACGAGATTTTTGCTTATAAAACTCTTGTGTCAGCCATTTTGTATTTGTTTTGGGGTTGTTGTTTTGGCAATGGAGGTTCTACATTTTTGAGCTATGATTACTTGGAGCTTTATGGTGCAAACGTAACATATTTGAGAAAGCTGCTCAGTTATCTGTTATTGTATATGATAATAAGCTTAATGATAGCAATGATGAGAAATTTGTTTATTTTGATCGCCCTCATATGCATGGTATTCGTGTTCGTGATCGTGAGCCCAGCAGAATACCAAAGAAATGAATTACACATATTTTGAAGAAATTCAGGAAAGTAAGACATTTATTTCGAACCTACATAAAAAAAAAGCACACTGAAGTCTTCCTGAATGCATCTTTTTACAAATAAAGCTTGTGAAAAAATATAGGCACATGGAATCAGATGTGTGAATAAAGGAACAACAAAATACCCCTCTTCTGCAGTCAGGAGAAAATATCCAAAGTCTAAAAAAAACAGGATACTGAACATGCAAAACAATATCCACATGAAATAAAAAGTCCAAAGCCAAATGAACACAACAATCTTTTTAAGTACTATTTCAGAAAAGAGTTTGAGGGTTTAATCAGGTTTCCAAATGGGAGAAAACATTCTAAAACACAAGGCCACAGGCCAAGTTGTTGTATTGTTTTTGAGTGGTAACCTGATGATTGCTGAAGCAAGAGGTCTTGAAATTACTTCTCTAACAAAGAAAATATGTAGAAATTATCATTTTAATAAGTTTTCTGCATTAAAATATTTTCTTTGAGACATGGAATGTGAACCTGTTACCTACTTGCTGTTTGCTGGTCTATGATATTGTTTCATTTGCATTCAATGGCATGTTGTTACCTAGCTGTTTTTGTCTTTTGAGCAAGCACATTGCTTTGCAATGCAGATGGCAGAGTACAGATTTAGACCTCTGAAAACCCAGTGAAGAAGATACCTAAATATATAAAAACAAATGAGCAGATGGGGTTTTTGAAGATTGGTAAAGAGCCCAATTTCCCAAAGTAGCCAGGTTAGACCACCAGGTGGTCTATAAACACTATGATCTGCACAAAGCTCATTCCTTCAAAGTTCCGTTAGTTCAAATGGATGCTTTAAGCCTTAATTGCTGGCAGACAAAGTTTATCCAAGAAGTTACAAGGCCATCAAAAGATGGTATACCATTTTAACCAGTTGGGTCATTGTAACCAGATGGGCCATTTTTTAGTAGGATCCTTATTATTACCTGCAGACCACTTCATATTTTTAGTCATTTTATCAATTAAGATCAAGTAAGCAGTCGGACCATTTTATCTAATAAGGTCATGGACTATTTTAACCAGTTGGATTGTTTTGTCTAATAACATCATTTACTACCAGTTTGTACCATTTTATGTAGTTAGAACACTTTTGCAGGTTGAAGCTTTTTCAGACCATTTTTACCAGTTGGATTATTTTCTCTTGTTAGACCATTTTCCACCATGTTGACCATTCTATTTAGTTGGACCATTTTTATTGGTTGGACTTTTTATCTTGATAGACTATTTGAAATGTTTGGACTATTTTACTTATGAACACTGGTTGGATGTATTTTAACTATATGGTTAAATCATTTAAATCATATGGTTAAATCATTTAAATCATTGGACCGGTTACGCAGTTTGATCCTTTTATTTAGTTAAGCTACTTCTACCAGTTGGATCATTTTATCTCAAAATATGTATCAAGAAAATTGATACATATTTCATTTGATGCATTGATAAATACATCATGCATTTTATTTGTTTAGCTGTTTTAAAGGCTAGCCTTACATTTTAATTTTCCTTAAGTCGTTTTAATCAATATACTCTCACTATTTATATTAGTTTCTTATCTTATCATTCCTATTTATAAACGATGGTCATTTTCTTAGATTTTAATCTTTTTAGGGCCCTTGTATAAACAAATTTTTGTAAATTTTGCATCCTCAATGAAGATTATTTAATAATAATAAATCCACAAATGTAGCTGATTGGGTATGCTGACTAGAACATTTTTTACAGACAAATGTAAAAATAGTCATGAAGTCACTATCAAATTTTCTTGGCTTGATGAGTTATCCATTTTTTTAGGCAAGAGACTTTGCTGTGCATGCATTTCATGTAAACTGCAAACTCAAATATGATACACTGCTTTATCCAGTTTAGGAGTCAAGCTAGTGGAGCCTGGTCATGATGTGTGGTTACAATTTGTTGAAGACAAATAGATGAAAATTAGTATAACTGTTGAATCAGAATGAAAAGAGGTATTATTTTCTAAGTGATTCCTTTCTTTCCAATTTGAAATAGATATAAACTCTGCTGCTGACTGGATGAAAAGAACTCATGAAGACCATCCATCCTTATTTGTTTATAGGTCTGGTTCAGCATATGATTGCTATGAAAATTTTCATATGATGATATATAGTAATGATTACTCTATATTTTTTTCACAGATTATTGCAATTTTGACATTGCAGCATTTCATGTGTAGTGATGCCATTAGAGCAATGAGTTATTGGCATCTTTAAGGTGTAATGGTTTTGTTACACAAACCACCTATTTCGGTTAGGGATAGCTAAAAAATTAAACAACTCATATATTATTATTTGCAAGGAACAACTGACCAAGAAATGAAAAAGATTTGGGTAGTTCTTAAAAGGATTCCATGGCTTGGGTCCAAATGTGAAGGGGTGGTCCGTGGACCTTTAGTTCATGTTTAATTATACTACACTCTTGTCTCCAAAATTGTCTTAAACTTCAACATTTGAAATTTAGATCTTGCTTTGTTTTTATGTTTTCCTTTAGGTAGTTTTCAATCTATGGACAAAGCCACATACTTCATGAGATAATGTTTCTATGGCTCTCTGAAAGTTTTGATGTGATAATCTGAGTTACTATTGCATTCAGTTGCTTTCAACAGCAATTTCTAAAAGTGGAGAATTCAATGAGCCCTCAATTGGTTTGCTTTTATGGATATGAGATTGTACATAGCTATTAGAGAACTTTGGCCTTTACTATTTACCATATCGTCATGAATACAATGCAATGAAAGTATACCATGGAACTATTGTCACTGCCTTTGGTCCCTCACACCTGAATGACATGATGAAAAATTGTTTGCTATAAGTGAAAATTTCATAATTTAATACATTGACAGTCATGTTGTAGTTGTTGTCAATGTTGTTTTATTGTGATTTATTAATAGATTTGAGGGAGGTGGTGGTGGACAGAAAGGTATTCAGCAATATCCAACCCTAGAGCATGTTGGTGGACATTTTTCCTTGAAAGAGACAATTCTTTGGTTTGAGTTTGTTTTAGCAGCTCTTGACTGCTACACATGGAGCTTCAGTGAGCATCTTCTATCACCAAGCTGGGTCTTCATTTGTGAGTAACAAGTTTGTAGCCTATTACTGGTAGCTGATAATTTTTTCTTATTTAAAGATGTCTGCATGTGGTAGCATAACCACAGATAGTTTATGTGAGAAAAAAATTTTTTTTCAGATGTGGATTCTGTTCATAACAAGTGACTAATTGATCTGTTTAGGTTGACTGCTGTTAGAAAAGGTGTTTGAAAAAAAAATCATGCTTTATTGGGATTGAACTTATGCCAGTTGATTGCCACTACAATGTAAGCCATTAGTCCCATTGTATGTTCCCTTTATGGAAGTTCTATCAGGGGTAGGGTTGCCTCAGCATTGCTTCTGACCAATTCATGGCTCCATCTGTATTGTTTTCATGGAAGGTCCACTATGCATGAACAATTATTACCTATATCTCCGACAAAATGTAGCTGCGAGGGATCCAATTTTGGCAGTTCATGGTAATGTCTATCATTATCATCTTTCTGTACCTTCACAATTCTCTCAGGCATGTCAGAAATCAGGTGGCTCAAATTATGCTATAGTTATGGAGAGACATTTGCATCCCAAGCAATTACTATGCTGATTAGGGCTTTTTGCTTTCAGCAAGTGTGTTGGTCACTCAAGTAATGCTAGCTAGGGATCTTACATATTGACACAGATTTTTGTTATTAGGGATCTGCGGGTCTTGGAATACATCTAAAGACTTTTTTCTGATGAAACATTATTTGAAAGCCACTGTTTGCTTAAAATCTTAAAGTCATCATTATGAAATAGGGGGTCCATTGTGTGACACCAGCCATAGGATGGATGGAAAACCCCAAGTGACCTTTCCTTTCTTTAAGATAAAATGTGGCACTTCATGAGGGTATAAAGTTTCTACACTGTGACAGGTAATCCTCTTGCTAGGCTGTGACCTTTGGGCTGGTGAGCACTGGCACACTCTTTGGATTTCTCTCTGGGCAAATTTGTGAATCACGCAGACATTAGTTAGCAGGTATCATAACACAATGGCTTTTGCACATGAATCCATCTTCTGTGCCAAATAGTTGATTATGAGATTTTTTAAAATCATCTGTTACCTTGTAAGAGGGAAACTTCATTTTGCAAACCATTTCAAAGTCTACATAGCCTTCACTGCACAGTGAGAGAGCTTTTTCTCTGATGATACCTCGCTTGTCACTAAACACCTGGAAAAAGTAATTTTCTTTGCTTCATAATGTATGTGTAGTTGACCAGATGCCACAATGTTGTATCTATCTTGGGTCCAACCACAGAATTTAGAGTCACTTATCTTAGATACTCTTTCAGGCTCAGTGGATTTCAATTAAGCTGTATGTTTGGCTTTTTTTCCCTGTTGATTTCACATATCTTGCCCTTTCTGGATGATCCCTGAGTAACTGATGGAGTATGAGGCTTCAAATTAAAGCTCCATTAAAGACAATCAACTTTTGCAGGATCTAGTTGCCTCCCTAGTGAAAAGAACAAAACTTGTAAGGTGGTCCTCTGCCAAGGCATATCTTGTCCTTGAAATTCCTTTTGCACCAGTGCAAATTTGTAAGCATCTTCTGTTCAGGTCCATGTTAAGGTATGAAATAACCTGGTAAGAAGGCTTAATTCTTGCCATGCAACTCAAAATAAGCATATATACAGCTTTGCTGACTCTGGTTGTGCTCTTGTAAGATCTTCCAATCCCTTGAAAAACCATGAAGCAAGGATTACTGAGCAAGCTCTTGTTTGGAAAGGATTTTCTATATTAGTGGTCAGGTAATAGCTTCAAGCTGCACTAAATTGCCCTTCTCTCAGTTACCAAATAAGGAACCTGGTCAATTAAAGAGTGGGCAGAATTTTTCACATTGTAAGAAAGAACACATTTTAAAAAAGAATATGAAGGGACAGCATAGATTTGCACATCTTATGCCAGTGAAACATACAATTAACATTTTGGTGGTAATTGAACACAGTTCAGACTTACCATAAAACAATAAGCCTTTCCTTATTATGACAGCTTTTCTCAATACTTTTTAAAAACTCTTTTCTATTTCCATGTAGCACCAAAGGATGATAAAATGCCCAGTGTTCTTTTCATATCGTTGAAGTTCTTTTTGTCTCGTCTGGCAATGTTTGGGATTACAGCAGCCACCAGTTGTTTCACAGCAGGTCCATCAAGGGGCTTGGGGGACATTTTTACACCCAGAGAGATAGATGACTATTTCAGGTATGTGAAATATGTAGAAAAGTTATGTTTAAAAGCTATTAGTAATTACCAAACTAACAATGATTTCATTTTCTTGTATTGACTTAGTTACTTATTAATGTGATTTGTCTGATTTAACCTATCCATAAATATTACTTCTTACATCAGGTGACTTTGGTATAAATGTGTTTGAATATGGCAAAATACTTATTTCTGTGGACACAAAAATAGTACCCTTTTAGAGGATATGATTTGAAGATAATAAAGACAATAATAGAAATATAATGCAAACTGATCCTTCATACCTTTGAGCAAAAAAGAGAATGAGGCCTACTGTACATACTTAAAAGGTCCCGTTTGTTATGATACTTGCGCCATGATGAATACATTTACATTTTAGGAAGATTGGGTTTAATAACACATCATGAGGCACATCAACTGTAGCAAAATTATTAATACTATAGGAAGAGGATTATAACAACATTGATACTTATCTGCTATATACAGAGTATGATATTGTAAGAAGCGGATTATTATTAAGTTACATAAGTATTGATGTCTTGATCTGCTTGTATGGCATGAATAATTTTGCTACAGTTGGAACCCATACACTTAATGGTTAAATCACAATTGAGGTAACCTGAAACAATCTTGTACAACACATGTATTGCTCTCATTCATTAATTTGGGTCTTGAGCAATTAGGATGTAATTGACTCCCCGAAGCAGCAGATGTCAAAAATCTATCAGTAGGTGACAACTTTTTGTGGATTTAAGTGTAGACTCACTTTCCATGGGTCAAGAAGTGTGAAATGCAGGGGGTAGTTTGTGATTTATTGACTTGAATGGCTTGAGCCTAGTTTTGGAAGGTGTCTGGAAACAGTGAAATAGCAACAAAATGACAGACTGGAGAGAAAGCACCTCCAAACACCATGCTAATACACGTAACTGACTTTTAAAAATTCCTTTTCCTGCGCGGTTTCTCTTTTGAATTTCTTAAAGTACATTATTTTAATAATTTCAAATCTAAATAAAAGTTGAAATAGTTGGTTGTAAAGAAACCTCAGAACATAGTGTGTATACAGGTACATTATTCTCTCTTATTGGTTCATTTGGCTAACTCTTTGTCTGATTAATTGTATTCATCACCTGGATATCCTGTCAGGGTCTGTGTTACTGCACATGGCAGTTTTCCTTCTTTTTTTGTAATCACTGCTGTCTGGTTCCTGAGAAGCCTGAAACAAGCTAAATAGTTGTCAAGACTAGTGGGGGAGATTTGCAGAAACCAAGGATTTAAATTTTTTTTTCCAATGTTGAAACATTAAATAACGGAAACCCAAGTACAATGTTTACTCAATGCTACTTTCAGCCCCTTACCACAAAAGTGATGTACTTTTCAAATTTCCCTACTAAAAGGGTAATAGTAAAATGAACAGATAGGTGGTGGTCTGAACATTTGCAACAAAATATGTTTTATGGTTGTCTGACATTTGATTTAAAAGCCCTATGCAATTTGTGAAGACAAAGCTCATTTGTTTTGTGATATCTATGATGCAAGACTAGAATGTCTTTATCTTGTTACGTGGTAGCTAAATTGCAGTCTTAGGCCCCTTCCACACTAATGTATTTTGTTTGGAAAGAGCATGATTTTTAATACATTTTTGTTAATCATCCATACTACAGAGTCCTAAAATGCTGTTTCAAAGGTGAAATATTCAGAAAATGCATCAGATTAGAAAGATGGCTTTTTGAAAATGTTGACAAAGTTAGCATAGCATACTTTGGGTTCCATCAGTGTTGTTAGGTCTTTTAGTGGGATGATAATTAAAAATACATCTAAAGGTACAGTACACTTGGTTGGAAAGGTCAGTTGGCCAAAATAGTTCCATTCATTTTGGTTGAGACTATTGTATTCTTTGAAAACTGATCAGTGTGGTATGGGCCTGAAATAGCTCCTATTGAAAATGACTTGCATGATTTGATAATGAATATGATCCCACAACCTTGGTTTACTTTCAAAGTGAAAGAAGAAGTTGCCCTCTCTTCCCTGGAAACGGAAAACCCATTCCATATTTGACAGAACTTCACGAGATTGCAATAAGGGAGATTTAATAATGAATTTATCCATAACAGTTAATTACACTGACATTCAATTTAGATTAAGGCATTTGGATTCTAATTTTTGAATGGCAGTATGTTGATGTAATTAAGTTCCAACAGAAGTTTTACTGGCAAAAATGGGCAATCCCTTCATCCTATGGATGTCTTAAGCAACCATCCCTTCTACCAGGTAGTTAACCAAGTGATAGCTTATGGTTTTTTGGAAATGTTTATGATAACAGTTTTCCAGAGGATTATTCTCTATTTTTGTGTCTGTGTACAGGGCTAAGTGCATAGTGATAGTAAGGGTCATAAATTTTGTTACCGTACTTCTCCAGGACTTTCCCCAGGAAACTTTAAAGGTGATTAAACATTATTTTATTTGCTCAATATTCTTAATTCAATGTGAAATGGGCATTGTAACTATGTATATGATTCTGTGATAACAGCATTAAGTACCTTCAAAAATACCATAAGTACAGAAGCTTGTAGCGCTGTTGATATGTCAAGTTAGAACAATTTGTTAGTTTCTAAAACAACATCTGTCATAGGTTATTTTCTGAAGGAAATTCAGAGCTGGGCAATTTCCTTGAGCTCCCACTCCGCTTAGTAGGATATGATAACGTTCCTTGATATTAAAGACGCATTTTCAGATTGATCCATTATGAGAGCAAATCATATACATTTTTTTAAAAATAGTTTCTGACACTAAAAATCATTTCTCAGTTTGACACCTACTTTGCCTTTGCTGCCATGACAGTAAATATGCAATTTTGAATCTGGACTCAACTTCAAAGTCCAATTTTTCCCCGTGATATCTTTATTCAGACTTATAAAATAAGGTAGAGGATTACAAACCTCATTGTATTCTACAGGGTGCTGTTGGAGTGCTTTGAAATTGCCCAGCTCAGAATTTTCTGCAACAAATAACCTATTACAGATATTATTTTAGAAACCTAGAAATTGTTCTAACTTGACTCATCAAGAACACTACAAGCTTCCAAACTTATGGTATTTTTCAAGGTCCTGCATGGTCCTTCTTTTACAGTCACTTCTCAAGTTTACTTACTGCTCTCTACCCTGGTAAATCATTTTGCTTGAGAGGTGTACCTAGTTAGGTAGTCAAGGTTTTGCTTTGGAGAGACCTTAAGCCTTTTCCTTTTTGATGGTTTCCAAGGAGCTAAGTCCCTAAAAATGCTGTTTATGTTATTTACATAAAATTAATGTACTGCCTTTTGCTAAATTATGGTTGAAAAACAAATTGACCAAAACAGGGTGAAACAAGTGAGGTGCTTGAGTGATACAGTCCTGAACAATTCAAATTTATAGGGTGACTAAGAAAAGTGAACTGAAAAACTGATTGCACAGAGTGCTTTGAAGCTCATTGGTCTTTGATTTATTTACTCTTATAATCTCTATTAATGATAGTCCTGATGTTTTGTTAGACATTTCCTCTTGAGTTTTGGAGTGAGGACCTGTTTGAGGTTTTACTTAGCTGTGTCTTGGAACCAGGAGTGGTTGGATTTCACATGGGAGATGTTGAAGTTGTTGAGAAGTTACCAGAACAGGTTTTGTAACTGCATGTAATTTTGGTAGCTTTTGGTATACGAACTTTACAATTAAACAGTGCATAAGGGTGTTCTTGTTGATAGGGGGATTGAGAAACATAATACTTGAAGGGTAATGATAAGCCCACCTGAATGTATTATTGACAACTAATGAAATGGTGAGTGGATTTCAAGAAAGTGCCAGCAATCAATAGTGTAAAGACTCCAAAAACCAGAAAAAGATTATTGTTTATTTTCAGCAGTGGCATATAACCTATCTAGAAGCATTTACAAAATAACTAAGATACTTCTAGCGTCCCGATTGGTTAAAAATCCTATCATTTACTGCTCTGGTAAACCTATAGAAAATTGAAGTTTATTTTATAAAAGCAGTACACAGCATTTTCTACCAGCTAACACACTTAATTGTAATGTTGAGAGAACACCAGGAAAGCTTGTAAATCACAAGCTTGAGGGTTACATTATTTTTGTCCAAGAGCTGGGGTTTAGTAGAGTGCAAGACTAGCTAATCAGAAATTTAGACCCCAGCTTTTTTAACAATTTAGGGAAGTAAAATGCCTCTACAGCTGTAGGTTATATGCTTCTGCATTTAGTAATAGTCAGTCGAACATCATAGTTGGAAACACAGACACAATTATATTTCTAATAAGTTAGAAAGAAAAACCATCATTAAATGGAAAAGATTACATGAAAAAGATCCATTTGTTTTGATCACTCATAGACATATTTAGGTACTCTGTGTCTAGAGTCAAAGGAGATCTGACAATGAGTTTGCATGACTAATAATCTTAAATTCATGGTGGAGAATGGGAGATTCCATATCCACTAATTGATTTGGACCTAAGGGGGGGTGTCACTTTGATACCAGTTTGTTTAGTGAAGGTGGCCAATTTTGAAACATAACTTTTTGTCTGGTCACTAAAAAGAACATTGCGCCTTTTCCTGCTTTGGTTAGTATAGAAAGCACCTAGACACAGAATGCTGCTCATTTTTGTCATACCTGCTGCAGCACTAAGGCGGTAACCTGTTACATACTGTACTCTTATTGATCCACTTTGTTCTACTATTTAGACTGGTGCTTTGTGTAAGCTGTTGGCCCAAAGGCTTTCAGGAGAGAGTTTGAAAAGATTTAAAGGAACCCTTGAAAAGAAGATTGCATTGGGAAGGTAATTTTCTAGGAAAAATTCTGTATGTTTAAATGCATGTCTCCTTTCCAACAAGAATAACCTCAGGGCAAGAAGTTACGGGGAAAATGTTCACTTTTGTTTCGCAAGACAAGTCCTATGATTAATTTGTGCCTTTGTCTAGAATTTAAAGTACCGCTCTCGCTAGTAGCGGTCCTCTCGACTTCCCATCGGAAGAAAGTTTTCTTTTATTTTTTGCCCATGAAAAGGGATTAGGACACATGTTTGAAAAATAGTTTAGTTGTTCTCTAATTCTCTTTTTTTGCGTCGTCACAAGCCAAAAATGATTTCTGGCCAGACCACCCCAGTGAACAGCGATCGAAAGATCAAAGATTTTGTCCAGCGCGCAGCGACTGCAACAATGTAGCTCATGGAATTGTATCTTGCTACAAGTTACAAGATGTATTCAGTTAGTTCACAGACAAAACATGGAAACTTCAGCTGAAGTATTTTTCATACCAGCGTGATCAGAGGAGACTCTTCTCTTCGACCATAACTTGCATATCAAAAATTTTCTACTTTGTACGAAAGAATTCTCAAAATTCAGATGTTAGTCGGGCTGAAAAAGCATATCAGTGCATAGTTTATGCATCAATAAGGTTACGGATTGCCTCAAACCCGCGGGTATATCTCTAGCTTCCATCCACCAACTTCTTAAAAACAGCGCAAATCCATGTGTTTGCTCAGTTGCGCTCGTGTCAAAGATCATTTGCATGATTCTTAAAATTGACCAAGATCTCCTTTTGACCGTTCAAACTTCGTTTATCTTCTACGTTGAGAATTTTAGGTTTTCACAGCAACTGAATGGAGATTAGATGCCGAGTTGTCCTAAAACGTTATGTAAACGTGATCGGTCGTAACGCTTGCGCGCTTGCGTGACTTACAACATAGACAAAGGTGATCGGAAGGCGCTTTCTCGATAATTTACGTTGAAATATCAAGTCATGAACTACGGGCAGTGTGGAGAAGATCGAAATTAAAGAATCAATTTGGCACTGTGGTCATAACAGACATATCGCGTTGCTTAAAAGGACACAAAAACAAGTTAAAATAGGTTACAGTGTTTATATTTACAAAACAACACGCATACACTCCGAAATAATTCTTGCAGTTTCTCCCGAGATTTAGTATACGGAACCCGATGAACTAACCTTCCTTTCCGCCGATTTGTTTCCATCACTGATGATGTTACGCTCTTATGGAGCACAACGGTTTTGAGCGACCAACTGATTTATGTAACCCTTTTTACATACATATATTCATCTTGCTCCATGTATGCACAAGTTGCTTTTTTTTCCTAAAAGGTAGTCAACAGCATAATTTAAGTAAAACAGGGACCTATGCTCTAGAGTGCTAATAAGAAAAATGTTAAACAGTTTCAGTCCTATGTTATTGCCTTGTTACAGTCACTGCAATCTGTTTGATCAACTTCCATTTCCACTGAGTGGTCTGCAAGAATGCCATGTTGATCATCTGAGATTGGCTTACTTGGTACAAGGCCACCAACAGCTGCACTGTGCTGGCTTGCTACTACCTGCTTTAAAGGCTCAGGTTTGTAGGGTTCAAGTAGTTATTGCATAACATTTCAAATGCCAAACAACTGGAAAATTTTACCAGTGAGCACTTTAGTAATATGCTAACCATGCTCAGGTAGAGTCATCTAGCTGTCACCTTTAATCTACCCCTTTTATAAATAGCATGTGGCTAGTCCCTGATCAAATTTGCAAAGTTACATGTATGTAATTTTATTGTTGATGGTTTATTGTAATTGTCTCCTGTGCATTGTCTATTCAATCATTGGTGTATGTTTCTGATATCCTGTTTGTCAAAACAGCTTTTTCAAAGTTATATGAGTTTTGAAATATCAAAGAAATTCACCATAAATTTGTCCGTTATTTCTAGAGTTCCTTTCATTTGCCAATAAATCCATCAGTCTCAACAAGGCTATATACAAAGTTTGTTGTGTTTCTTTCAGAGATCTGTAAATAGCTCCTAGCTTAAAGATTATTGTGTTTAAACAAAGATGATTATGATAATGTTGTAGGCTGGAAGTACAGCAGAAAAGTATGCAGTAAAACTTTTCACAGCAGTGTATGACAGTGTTAAACTGTCTGTGAATGGCAGTCTCCAGACAGTCGTTCTTGCTCCAGCTTCTCAGCAACTTGCCTCTAAATTACTGGATTTGGCCTATGACCTTGGTCTTCAGGTTTGTGAAGTGTTGGTGCATAAAGTCAGTGATTAACATTACTATTATCAACTGAGTGGACATTTTGACCATTACCCTTTGTCAAAGCTAATGGAGGAATTGTGGGTTGTGAGTGTTTATATGCAGAAAATGGAGCTATGCTACTGGTGGGAATATGGTGACGAGAAAAGCAAAAAGAAATTAGTCAAATGAAAAGCCCTTGCTGATACCGTGGGGACTAAGGGTGCCGATTTGAAAGATAAATTTTTGTTCTAGAGTTTTGCGCCTTTCTGAATTTCCCAGATGTAGGGAAAGGCTGCAAACTGCAATATGTTGCTTAGAATGATGAGGATATAAAAATCCTCTTATATGACACTGCTTAGGGAAATTTGCCACAAAAGCTTTCAAACATAACCACCAAGTCACATTCTATACATTAGTATTCATCTTACGCCATTACATGACTATCATCTATGATATTTATCATAGTGTTTGGCTGTCCTGTGGTTAAATGTCAAATATACCGGTTTACATTATGTTCTGAATCACAATTGGTAAAACTTGTTTATGTTAGAAACATAAAGCTTATATCTTTGCTTGATTTGACATTCTCTTCCGTTACTTTAGTAAAATCTACCACCTAGTATAAATAAGCTTTGGTTAACAGATTACGGATACCTGTGGTAAATTGTTCAGCTACATTTTTCTGAATGGCGCTTTAGGTGAAATCCTAAATATTCTCCTATCTAACCAAAATTCCACAAGTGACTGATGAAATGGCTAATTCTTAGTCGATGTACTCTGGTCACAACTGACGCCTTTGTATATATTTATGGCTGTTGGTAGTTGCTGCCACTCTTGCACAAACCAGTGCACACCAAATAATCCTTTAAGGACTTGCATCATCCTCTACATGAAGCTCTACATCCACATCGGGTATAGAACAGATTCCTTTGCTTGAGGTAGAGTTGTCCAGAATGGTGACCATGAGTTGTTGAGCTGCTGCCACCCCCAGTCTGATGGGCTTGGGAGCACTGGCTGACAATAGGGGGTTTGGCCCCATAGGTAGCCTTTATGGAACATTGCTCTTTTGACGTGCTGCTCAAGTGGGGCTCTGGTGGGAGGCATGCTGTCTGAGCTTCTAGACCTCTTTGAAAAGAGCTTTTACTGTGCCTCGTTTACTTTTGTAAGGCTGCTTGTACAGTCATATAAAGGGACAACAAACCTCTCAAGCACAGCCATGCATTCCTCTGTGTTCTCTTTTTGTGATACTTTGAAGACTTTTAGCACTGATGTCAGTTGAGGAAACACTCTTCACACATTCCAAGCCGTTTTTTTTTTCATGCCCTCCCAAAAATGAAATATTACCACACCCAGTTAGTGCATGGAACATTGGTGGGGTCGAGGCTTTATCGGGACTCAGGGACATTGCTATAGCATGTGTAGGGGTATTCTGTACATTCTTTCTAGATCCATAGGTGATCCAGAGTTCATCTGTTGGAAGAGTACTAGCCACTGAAATAGCAAGTACAACAACATCTGTATCATGGCTTCTAATTTAAATTTGTCAATATCCACTTGAGGCTGCATCATGTACATGGACCATAAGGCGAGTATCTGCCTCTTCATTTGTGCAAGGTGCAAGTAAGCTCATCCCTTTTCTTTCAGTACTTGTTAGGATACCCTCGCCATAGGCAGAGTAGATGCTCTTACCCCTCAGGTGCCTTCAGTCAAACCACCTTAGATAAAGTGAATACAAATATATGAGATAAAATCGTGTATAGTAAGGTGTTTGAATTCTGTTAAAGACACAGTTCTGTTATAGAAGTCGACAATATTAGATACATATCTTGTTTGTAATGAGTTTGAAAAGTTTGTCCTTACTATCATCGACTCACGGAAAGCCTTTCCAGTCAGCAGGAATTCTTGTTGATGCTAGTACTTTGGGCCATTGTCCAGATCCTCTCTTTTCTCGCAATCATCTCTTTAGTGAATCATCCTGATAGACATCCCAGAGTAAGTCAACCCTTCTTGCTGTTTCAAGGTGTTTGAGGATGTAAGGGGTGAACAGGGTACTAAAGTATTCATCAAAGGTGCGTGGTGCTCTTGGCTGTAGCATCTGCACAACAACAGCTCCATCAAGAATAACTGCATCAGCGACTTGTTGAGATGCAATCTATGCTTATGTGCTGGGTAAGCACTTCACCAAGTCTGCCTTCTGTCCTCCTCTAAGCTGGCCAAACTGCAGAAGTGATGGCAGCTGTAGTTGGTTCTCATACTTAAAGAAATCTTCCAAGTTTCCATCATGAATTTGACACGCTATGTATAGCCACAAACATAAAGCACTATCCTCTTTCAAAACTTCCACTTTTGCCTTGTCTTTTGAAATGGTCTCCTTGTTGGTTGACATGAAAGTGGGAAGATCATTCGTCTTGAGAGGTTGTATAATAGGCTTGCTTCTCTTGATGAACCACTCATTGACAAATGAGTTAAACTGTTCCTTACCAATTTTTGTAAGATTGTGAACAGTTTTGACCACCGTATCATCCATGATATCCCTGGTATAGATCGCAATTAGGTTTCCATCTCCTTCAAGGAGGCACGGATGAAGCGAGCCCTGAGAGGTAGTGGAACTCAGATTGTGATCAATGTTAGCAACTGCTGTAGTTGTCAATAGTGTCCCTCTGAGTTTAAATGGACATGTAACTCCTTCAGGTGCATACCTTTCAATTACACTGTTTGTTATTTTGGTAGACATGGAGTTAAACCTTTGGTATGAAATACACATTCCTAGGTTATAAAAGGTATCAATGAGAGATCTGTCTCTGGTTGCATCATATATTTTCAGAGCAGTATAAATGGGCAGCGGGCACTCTCTTGATCTTATATGATGTGTTATTTACCAGTGCCCTCAGGATGATTGCAAGGTCTTGAAATGCTGTTAAATATGATCAGTTGCACGATTGAGAGACAGGCCTGGCTATCTGGAGGGTTGGCCTTAATAGTGACACCTGTGATTATCACACCAACTAATGATAGCAAGGAGACAGGAACAGCATTTTCCTGACATTCTGGGACAAATGTGCCATTTGAAGAATTTTTTTCTCAGGATCTCTCTCCTTGAAATATGTGCTGCTCTTGCCAGACAAAATGCGTCAGAATCCATCTTTTTAAACTTTGACAGCATTCCCCCGATTTCATGTTGCAACACCAGTTAAATTTCCCTGCCTTCTGCATGCGCTGTAAGATTGGGAAATGCTGCTAGTACTCTCTCCTTAAGGCTTGTTGCATTAACTTTGCCACACTCAGCACCTATCCCTTGTAGTTTGGAGGTACAATATCTCACCAAATCTGAAAGGATAAGTGTTGCAGGCTCGGCAAATGTAAGCTCTTCAATGTCCACTGAGGTATCATCTGTAGGTTTTGAATCCTGTTGTTTGAAAGGCCTGGCCCTACTGTAAAGTCCAACCAAGCACTTGACATGGTACTTTGCCTCCATGGCAACTAAAACACCAGCCAACATCTTAGCAATGACTTTTTTGTCATTCAGAAGAAGGGCATGGTCTCTGACTTTCTTGTCGACATCAAGGGTTGATGCACATTGAACATTACAGGAACTATCATACTCATCACAGAAAAAACATTGTCTCTAGGGGTTGTAACGTCCTACACTAGATCGTCTTGCTTTAACTGGACTTGAGAAGATGGTTTCCTCTACCTCATCATGTCTTTCCTCTTCTGAAACTTTGTCAAATTTTCTTTACTTTTCATGCTGTAGGTTAGTGTTATTAAAACGATCTCAACAAGATTTATGCCAGCAGGCTTCTGGAATTCCTCTACATTCTAAATAAATGAAACATAACCAGTGCCAGCATCTTTCCTTTTAGAATTTGCAGGGTGCTACAAGCTCTCTCCATTGGCTCTCTGGCAAATAATGTGGCGCTTCCAGTCCATGGTTGACTGAAAAGTTGAAATTCCCCTTTTTACTCTTCTGTCTCAGTACAAAGAAGAACTTGTCTATTCATCTACTGGCATAAAAACATTACAAAAAATATCAAATTTTAACAGTGGCATCTTGTGATCAGGATCAAATTACCCATTTCGTATGGCAGTAATCTAAGAAATAATAGATATTTAAGCTGTAAGTATACATAGAGGCTGCCATCTTCAAAACTGAGTTGAGTCCTGGGTACTAATACCTTACCACTCTTGAAAAGGTTGCGTGCAGCCATGCTGCATCTAACATTCGTTTTTCTTTCGGAGCATCTTTATCTTATGCTTAGGGTAAAACCTTATACTTCCTGTCAATAATCCCCTAAAAAAGTCATATTCAAGTGAAGAATCGAAAGTGTTCTTAATTAAGTGAAATCGCTGTATTAAGTAAAGACAGAGTGTTCCATCTTTAAAGCTGTGCAATTCCTCAGCCCTGATGTGAAAACTAAAGCTTTTGTGACCTATAAGCGGAACTTCTACAGCCATGTTGTTTTGTATTGCTTCAATTTTTTCTTATTTCACACACTACTCATCATTGATGTTTAACCACAAGGTGCCCATATATTATGATAAATATTAAAGAAGATAGTCATGTGATAGATACAAATGGGTAGAGAATGATTCATTGATTATGTTGGAAAGCTTTCATCCTTTAAGAGGATTTTTTTTATTCTTAGCCGTGTTTCCATGTTGGCGAATTGCTAACGTGTTGTTCTTGTCTCCAGAAGTTAATTTTGATTGGCTCTATATCAGAAAATGTTAGTCTTACGCCCATTTTGAAATCACTGGTGGTCCCTGTAATCTGATTGGCTCTTATTGGTGTGAATCATGAATCGCACCATTTTTCGTGTTAAATCGCATCTTTTTCCTAGCCAATGAGAAGGCTACACTAAAAATAAAACAACCAATCAGATTTCAAAGCTTGTTTAAAATAATTAATCAAGTTGCAAGAAAATGAAAGACAAAGAGTATCATGTGGCAAATTTGGTGACTTTTGTTTCCAAAACTCTTAATTTTTCCGCCAAAAA